AAGTTCTCCCCAAGCGAGCTCGATGGGCCGAATGGCCTCCTCTCGTTTGTATAGTTCTTATGTTCTTATGTAACATCCAATACACTTGTTCTGATATCAAAATTTGGATTTGAAATGTTTTCATGGACACTATTACTTACCATACCCTTCATAGGCTGTTTATTTTTTTTTATTAATGACGTCATGTGAAACGTTAGTTTGCCCAATCTAGCCCATTAGGTATAATACCAAAGAAATCTAATCTTTGACGTGGCCAGTGTAGCCTAGCCTACGCTTATATTTAACATGACTCATACACTCCAAACGCTACAGCAGGTCACAGTTTTGTAATGTTCTCTACAGATAATGATCACTGTTTTGTCTTACCGAAGGATAAGCTGCCTGCACACCCTCCTTCACAATGGTGCAGCATCACACGCACACAACGTGAATTCGAGCTGCTGTCAGTGAAGTGCGCTTCCTGAGTGTCTCCTCCTCTATTATGTTCATTCTGAATGTTCTAGCTCCCTCTCCCACACAAACAGCATCACACACCAGCAGGGTAAAATTCATACAAAAAAAAACGTGATGCTGTTTTGGCTACGTAGGACTATATTTATTATAATATGTAACTTTGATATAACTGATCAAGCAGACGCATCACAGTAAAGTATTGCTTAATACTTTTTCTTTTTCCATGCAGGATTGGCATCACAATTTGACCATTGTACTGCAATAACATGGCATCATAATGAATGCTTTTCAAAAGCGATCAGGATAAAAGAATGCAACAACTATGTTGTGATGTGCAAACAATAAGAAAAACAGTGTTGGTGCCACATCCACATCTTACAACATAGCTTTATGGGAACCAACAACAAGATGCTCTTGGAAAAACACCTGAACTCTTCTCCAAAGTTCCAAGTGTGCATATGCATGGCCCCTCGCATCACCCCCATATGCCACAACTTTGCCTACAACAGGATGAATACCAAGAGGATAATGTGGCATGTAGGGAACTTCCAGGAAGTGGCCTGCCCTTGGATACTTTATAACCTCGAAGTTGTCTTTCCCATGAACCTTCAGTCGTGTGGCAGCCTGCTCTGCAAAAAGGCAGCTGTTCCAATTTCTGTCGTCCTCAGATGCCACAAAGAGGAACCTGCAGCTGGCCCTTTCAACAGGGATAATGGTAGATCGACTTCCCTCTGCCATGGGGTCAGTCACAGACTCCCGCACATCCAGAATTCCAGGTTGTGCAAAAGTTATTTTGCTGAAATCAGGGATGAGTGGAGGGATGACCATGTCTTTGTAGTGCAAAGGTAACATGACATTGGCATTGCAGCCATTGATCCACACAGTGGCAGAGACACCAGGGAGTAATGAGGCTATTGACAAGGCCAGATCTGCACCTTTAGAGATTGAAATAATCCCAACTCCAGGACCTCTGACCTATTGTTTAAAGAACAAAACCACATCACATGACATTTTAGAAAGCAACATCTGTTTTTCTGAAGTGTAAGGTGCTGGTTTAGTCATCAGTGTACTTATATGTAATACATTCGATGGGGCAGAGACTTCAGTATTTTAAAATTATATCTGAAAATATGCATTTAAGTTGATTTGTCAGAAAAAAAACAACGGCTAACACAAAAATAGTTTGAAATGCAAAATTCAATACTTCCTATCAATTTCTTTAAAAGCACATTAAAAGTAACGTCTCATATACGGTATTGCAGAATTTAGAAGTAAGGTATACCAAAGCAAAATTATGCATATAGCCTATTAAAATGTCATGACATACAGATTTCTTAAACTTCCATTTAAATGTAGGATGATTACCCCCATTTTATGTATTTTTATGTACATACATACATACATACATACATACATACATA